TTTTCCACTAATTACGTTCCTCAGTACACAACAGTTTATTTTACTGCATGTGTTATCTGCTGTTCTGTATGAATAACAAATGAGAGTCTCGTAAATCATAATCAGACTAACCACTCTGGTTATCGTTGGGTCAGAAAATTCGCTTGAGATCGCGAGGATTAAGGAAAAAAAGAGTAGAAATAGCCACGACGTATGATGAAACGTAATAAAATTCTTTAGCTAAACCGGAATCTTTGCAATCGTAATTGATTTCAATCGAGATAATCGATGATCTGTAATCTAATTGTATACACTGTGAATTTTGTATCTGATTAGATTAGAACGAACGTTTTTAATTAATCACGTTTTTAATTAATTCGCTTTTCAATTATTAAACTGTTTATAGTGGAGGGATGACTAATTGATAGTTGAAATTAAACAAACGTGTCTTGACACAATCGTAAAATTAAACAGACGTTGATAGCCTTTTTTACTCAAACAACGATCTCTTCTGTAATCTTATCTATCTTAGACCTTCGACGATGATATGTTAAATGGACTTTTTAATTTTGTTACCGATTGGAGTTAAACCTCTGAACCGCGAACCGTTTTTCCAGCCCGGAAATGCCAGCTGACAGCAACTAAGAATTTCGGAATCTCAGACGTCGAGTTAAGTTGACTAGGAAGTGAATGCGAGATACCGAGTGTACGTAAACTGTCTCTGTAAATAATTCAACCGGGCGCACGTTTCGTACGGCTGTGACAAGACTGAATTCACCGAGATGGCACGTACCAGTAGAGTCAACCGTTCCCGATTACGCCAACTCGAAATATTCCATTAATTAATGACTGTCATCGATCTGGAATGAAATATTGCAAATGAATTTTTCATTGAACAATTTCCTCAATCGTTACAGTCGTCATTCATAATTCAACTATTTTTTAATCGAGCAGAATTTCAATTAGTATTGCAAATAAATTTCGTCATTAAATCATTTCTGCAATTTTTAATTTTAGAGAATTGTTCCTTTTAGATAATCCGAAACTTTTGACTGACAGTGTATGTCGGGGGTTTGGAATTGAAATCATCTGGAGGAGCAGGGGAAGTTGATGATTGGCCTGATGGATCATGCCAATAAATCCTGATCACGGTGATGACATAAAAATCAGGAAAGGCTAGGTCGGCCTCGAATGAAGAAAGGGAGCCATGGCACGTGTCGACGGAAACAGAACGCTTTTTCATCGAGCAATTATTTAATTAACGCTAGTTCATGCAAACATCAAGCAGATTGCGTACAAAGTTCAAGAATATCTCTCTTCTATTTGAAATAAACGTTTTCACTGCAGCTGCTTGACATTGCGTTTGCACTTACTTCAGTAACAATAAAATTTTTTTCGAGATTTCATTGAAACAGTCCGTCGTTTTATGGGAACAGATAACGTTAATTGCGACTAACGTTAATCGTAGTTCCCATCGTTTCTGGACTGTGCAAAAACGGACAGTCGTGGCTCGCAGAGTTACAGCGCAGAACGCAGTGACTCACTTGGTGATTCAAAGAGCGATTAACTTGACGAGCTCCATTTTTAAGGCAATCGAACCACGCGTTCACTTTCAATTAAAACTGCGTCACAAGTTAATCAAAGAATACCATTTTAAAAAAACAATATTCCAAAAATGACCTAAATATTTGACGATCACACTAGTAAGGACCATTAAGGATGTATAGGCTGTATACTTAAACGATGCTAGCANTTCTGTATGAACCTAATTGATCGCCTTTTGTTCCAATAAAACGGAACCTGAGGATGAAGGATGAATCGAGGCCGGTGTAACATTTGTACATCGGGAAACGCGTTTAGCTCGCAAATAGAGAGCGTGTCAACGTCCTCGCGGCAGCCCATCGAATTATCAACTCGTTTCCTAGAAATCATCAATGAACTCGGCCTGCCAGCCGACCGAGCCAAGCGAAACATTTCCGTTTTTATCTCGGCAAAAATTATATAACCATTTTACATAAGAGCTCGGCGGCGATCGCGCGGTTCGCCGTTTGCCAAAATCGAACGAGGCCAGCAACGGTTCTGGAGATCTACGATCCATAAAGAATCGCCTCGGGCGACTAGACGAAATCCCCATAGGCTTTCTAACAATGCGAGAACCTCTGCGATTTTTCTAACGAAATTCTACGAGGTCGTGAACTTGAATCGACGAACTTCATCCCGAAATTCAATAACGACTTCAGACAATATCAAGGATCCGCGTTACATAAAGCGCGCCGTTGATCCGCGAGCGTCTAATTTTGGGATTAGTTTGCTAATTCAAGCGAGCTAGGCTGAGCCGACGTAGCTATAGGAAAAATTAGTGAATGTCAATTCGTGTCGCGATGAAGTCACCGCAAAATTCATGTCACAACGTTACATAAAGTCTTGAAATTGTTTGAATAGGATTGTATAATCGCGTGGATTAACATAAGTGGCATGAAACTTCAAATGCAAAATAACTAAACGAATTGTTGATAAATTCTGGGAAATCGTAGCCGCAACGACCTAACGATGATCATTAGGACCGAGCTATTAGGTACGAAACCGTAGCGATATTCTAACCGAGGCAGTCACGGTGTCGCCGAGGCTGTACCGTCGAACAAAGACCAGTCGACTGATAGATAAAGACGGAGACTGGGGAGAGGAGGACTGCTATCTCTCTCCCATAGGAGTTTCCTAGCCAGTTCGAGTAAACAAACTCGTTCAACTCGAAAGAAATTTCCAGCGGACTAATCCTGTGTGTATCGTCAAAGAATTTACGAATTAATTTTAAATTTACGAATTAAATTACTGAATTCTCCAGATGATTTAAATTCGGAGAGAAGTTTCTATCTGAAAGGATTAAAAAAATGTCTGAATTTCCCAAACGACATTTTTATAAAAATAGAAATAATGAAATTCCGATTGAGAATTTCGATTAAAAAATAATTCTAAGCTTCGCCCAATGCTTTTGCTTGGACTCGAAAGGGGCACTGTCAGTCAAGATTCAATGGTAGCTTCACTCAATTATCTTATGACTGGCCAGGTACCAAGAGAGTACCTCCGGGTTCGAAGCCTCGGGTTTACCTAGTGACAACCACTGGTCCCGTTGCCCTTGCACTTCCAACGGCACGGTTACTAAGCAGTATCGCCGCATTGTTTCGATCGACGACGGAACGAACGACGACGACGTCGTGCATACGTCCGTGATCCGATTGGCCCTGCGCCTACGCGCTTCCGATCGAAAGGAATAAAGAAAATTCCGGGTCACCTCGACGTCGTGCCATCCTCGACTGCGATCACTTTCGCGGTGCGAGAGAAGAGGAGGAGCTCGGTCGGTAACCGTGATCTTTCTCCGAAGAACGTCACGCGTCCGAAAAAGCTGTTCGACACTTGGCTGGCCCGACCTTGATCTCGAATTCGCGGTTCTCACGGTTCCGTAAGAAACGCGTGGGGCTATCGAGTAATTTTCCTTCGATGCAGTAATAGCGTAGTTGGCCCACGCGTGCACCGACACGCACGCACGCACGCACACGCACACGCATAGTACATATGTATAGATGTACACAGAGGAGGCATACACACGAGAGAGCCCAGCAGCAGCAGCAGCAGCAGCAGCAGCAGCGGCAGCGGTGAACATCCCTCTTCGCTCCGTTCGCACTCGGCTCAACTTTCTCTCTCTTTCCCTCGCGCACCGTGGCTGGTTCACCCTCGACATCTCACTCACTCGCGTACGGACAAAACGCATAGATGCAAGGATGACGACGACGACGATGGGAACGTCGTCTCACAGTTCCGAGCGTTCTTCTCACAAGCATCGTCCCCGGCGGGTGTTACACCGACTTCGTCGACCCACGAAAAAGCCCCCGTGTGTAAAAGCAAGTGTGATCGTCGACAGAGAGATAGAGAGAGAGAGAGAGAGAGAGAGAGAGAGAGGAAGAGAGAAACAGAGAAAAAGGAGTAATCCACTCGCCTGAACAGTGTTGCGTTTGAGGAGCCGTGGTAGCAACTGCCCGCAGTAATAGTCGTCAGCTGATTTCGACTGGCTGGCTGGCTGGCTGGGCAGTAAAGCCGTTGCCGAGGGGCGAGAGCCGAGGTAGAAACCTGAAGCAGTGGGAGTACACCGTCGCCCTGGAAGGGGCATTTAAAGCGATGCCAGGGCCGTAGAATCGCGGGGGCCAAATGCACCCCCTATCGATCCCGCGGTTCTCCTCCCGCGACGCCTGGCGAATCCGTCATCGAATCTGGAAAATCCAGCAATCTCGGATAAGGGGACTAATCTCCGGTTGTATCGATTCCGAGGAGCATTCTGTTTACGGGAATTGTTTACTCGGCCACTGTTAGCCGAGCTTCGAGCTCGAGGAGGGATTGATTTATCGGGCCTGCTCGTACGTTTCTTCGAGGAAGACAATGGGGGGCCAAGAAGCATGAAAATCGGCGTCGAACGCAGGAAGCGGAAAATCGATGAAGGGCTTACGTGCCTCCGTTACATGAAATATGCACCGTGAGGCGATAACGAACGTTTAAACCGTTTGTTATTTATACGCCTAGGCACAGAGCGGATCCTTGAGAAATCCGATTGAAGCGCAGAGCGGAGGTGCCGTCGTGGGCGGCTATTTAGAAGACGGTGTGTCTACGGGTATTATCGAGCAAATCCTAGGAACTACGGAAATAGCGTTGAGTATTTCGGTTGACTTTTTTTATTTTTACGACGACCTTCATCTTGGCCGCGCGGAAAATTCGCACCCGGACACGTGTAAGCGCTTTCAGCGACACCGTCGCGCTGACGTAACTACTTTGGTATTTCGACGACGACGACGACGACGACGACGACGACGGTGCAACGCGCGTTGCATATATTTTCGAAACTTCGAATTTCGAATGGGGCTCTCGCGACGCATCGATTCGTCGGTGAGAGAGCCGAGTGGGGGCGAACGCTCAGCTGGGCGAACAGCTGCTGGTCGTCGCCGTGGTTGGGATGCCAGCCGAGATATCGTTCAACGAATTTCCGTTACGGTGGTTCGAGGAAAAACCCGACGGGCTGCCATGAAAAATTGACAAAGGAAGGTCTAGTGCTTCGAACCAGCTAATCATCCCCGAGGTCTAAGGGTCGAAGTGGCTCGGTTTTCTACCTAGCTGTGACGTACGACCAAGATGGCATCATATGTACGCCAGTGCTTCTCAAAACAAAGTGAATCCGTCGGAAGAAATACAGAACCGTAGCTCCGGTCGTTTCTATGGATCAAATCGATTTCTGTTTTAAGCATTTATCAATATTCTTCAACATTTTCGTCTTCAACATTTTATAACAGACCTCAGTTAAATCACGATTTTAATTTAATAAATGCAATTATATTCGTCAAATAAATTATCCAACTCTCAATTGACGGTCATACGTGAATCAAATCTTAACATCGTTCCTATTAATTGAAAAATAAAAAATGCCCAATTTCAAGTTCATTGAGGCAACGATAAGAGGTAATTAGACGAGTCCAACTTTGTAGATTTTAGTTAACACAGTGGCACAGTCTGAGGATTCGAAGCCATCGCTAGCAACGGGACGCCTGCGCGAGTCAGCCGTGTCAATACTGTTTGGAGGATCCCTCCGTTTCCCTGTTGAATTGACACGAGTCAATGCACGGCAGTAACCAACTGTCCATCAACATTTTCCTTTTCTCTGTCCCAGTATCGCTACGCCACTTTCCCACGTCGATCGGCGATTCTGCATCCGGGGAACAACGAGCTATCATCGATTTGTTTTCCCCCGCGTCGAATCGTTCCTCACAGTTCGATCAATTTCTATTTTCACATTCGTCTAATTTTAGAACAATCGTCAAGACATTAAATAGAATTAATAATAATGTGACTGAATTTTCGTTGGCACTGAACATAATACAAATTAAAATTGTACGTCATATAAAATAAAATATATTCGTCAATAATAAATTTTGTTTAATTCTGGCATGAATCCTTGCCAATTATTTCTGTACAATAATAAACGACAGCTCTTAATTCATTTCTCAGGACATTGAGACAAACAGAGAAAAACGTATCGTTGAAAGAATTTCGATAAAGTGTCCGGAGAATATAAATGAAAGTAATAACGATTTATTCGTAATTTTACTGGCAGCTTTTCGTACGGTCGAACGAGATTGCGTGAAGCGTACCGAGGGATATAACTCGGTGCACTATAATAATAAATTTGACTCGGAATCTCCCTGGCTTTATACCCCAACCGTTAAAAGCCTATTCATGCACTCTGTGTAGGACAGGTTCCACGAAACCGGTTACCGAGTGTTTCCGCCTGGCCGTGTAATTAATTTTTTCCCCCCCTCTCTCTTTCTCTCTCTCTATCGGATTTCCGATTATCATTAATTATCGTAACAATAAATAACAGTTGGAAACTCGGTTACGAATGTAAAATTTATTTCATTAATATCAGAGTCGGTCGATGCGGAAATAAATCTAGTAGAAATTTAATCGATTAAACTTGCATTCATGCCAGAATTGAAGAAACAAATTTTCGATTAAATGCAAATAATTCGAATTATTATTAATAATAATTATACAGACTTAAACTCGGTTGTGAATGTAACGAAATACATTTTATAAAAATGTACGAAATTCTAATTATTCACATTTTCGTAGCTCTTCAATTTTTTCCATAAACGTCCGAACTCGTTTGCTGTCAACTTCGTTTTGCCACATGCCGCTGACTTTGAAATGCGAGCCAATGATCACCGCGTTCGAGGACGAATAGTAATCCTCTATATTATCTTTCGTGACACCAGAACCGATGAGCACAGGTCCGTCCGTTGCTTTCCTCGCCTCTGTCACAAATTCCCATTACGCGAATATGAAAAAGATTTTAATATAAAATAAACCATGAATTTAGGTGAAACTAATTTCAAATATAATTTAGTGGATCAATTAATTTGTTAAATAATCCCCAGAAATGGATTCATCTTCTGGTACACGAAAATTTTATCGAAATACATAAAATCTGGTAAAATATAAATAAGAAAGACGCAGTACCTTTGAGCTCGTTCAGATTAGTCGGCTCGCCCGTGGCAGTTCCTGTTAGTACAATTCCATCAGCTAGGAAAAATTTCGCTGCCTTAACCGTCGCCGATAAGTTAACGTCAGAAGTGAGAGCGTGCGAGCTGCGGGAGATAGAGACGAGAACATGGCGTGATTCTTAACAATTACAGATTGGACAAGTTTCCCTCCGGTCTATTAATAGATTCACCTATGCTTCTTTTTAACGTCGGCGAAGACGAGGATATCGTCGGCGTCGATTCGCTTTCTGTACCGTAGCAAAGAGCCGGCGCAGGCGTCCGTGAAACCCTCGTCGGCTATGTGCGAGAACACGAAACCCTCCACCCTTACAAACTGAAAATCGGCCGCCTTCGCCACGGCTATCGCCTCCTCGTTACATCCGGCTAAAATCTGTTCATTTACAGGCATGCGTTAATTTAAATAAAAATTTTTCCGATGCTCGTTTACGAATTTTGTACCTGAACACCGCAGGGAATGTTTTCAGGTAATACTTTTCTTATTTCTACACAGACTCTTGTCATCATTGCGACTACATCCGGCGTGAGATTTTGCGGTCTTACGTAGGGGACGTCGTGCATGTTCTCCACCAAAACGCCGTCCTTCAATCAAAACATTTAATTCATGCGAAACAATTGACACGATCGTAAAT